GCGGGGGCAAAGGAGTGCGGTATGTCAGAAAGGGGCGAGCCGGGTGTAATATGGCTGGAGAAGGGATGGCGCGAGCGCCGAACAAGTGCTGGTGGCTGATCCGGGGCCGGAAAGAAAGCTGCGGAAAGCGCTGTTACGGGGCGTATTGCGGGCAGCACAACTACCAGCTGAAAAAAGGAATGAAAATGCCGGAGCTGTTCAATTACCCTCACCCACTGACCCGTGTTCAATGTTCTTTCGAGTGCTGTCTTCCCTTTTCCACGCCTCAAGACCAATTTCATATTTTCTGATCCGGCTTTTGAGGTAGTTGAGGAAATTTGTTTCGCCATTTTCAATCTCATGGACCAGTCTCCTGTAAACCCCTTCTTTAAATTTTTCGCTGCATTTTTGAAATTCCTTGTCTGTTTCAATAAGAAAGACAATGCATGTGTCGCCTGATGCGAAAGGTTTTCCGTCCTCCATGCTTGGCGTTAGCCCTCCCGACATGATGGGTGCTCTCTTTGTTCTAAACCTTTAACAAGAAAACTAGTTAGAGAAACGGAACCTTCGGTTATAACGCAAGGCACATGTCTTCCTGTGGGCTTTCCGAGGCCATTCAAAACCTACCTCCAGAGCTTCGTGAGATGATTCTCAAGGAGTACATAGCGATAAAAATAAAGGAAAAAAAGAAAATGGGCTGGGCCGAGGTACATGACGATTTTAAAGAGGCACCCATCTGCGAAAAACGATCAAGAATCGTAAAGGTCATGTTTTGCAGTAAATGCAACTCTTGCGGCCTAAAAGGACTCTGTTACGAGTGTTATAAAAATAGAAAAAACATTATCTTGGCTACCCCGTGTATGACGAGAACGACTACGACGAAATCTTTCAGAAATTTTACTGAGCTGCGGCGTTATTTACAACCGGTCGAATTAGATTTAAAAATCCACGGAATCATTTGCATACCATAAAAACATGCTTGTCAGTGTTCACTTGGTTGCGTTTCTCGTGAATGAATATTTAACGCCTGAGTGGCAGAGACAAGTGCGTGATATTACACGCGAAGTTGTTGAATGCTTTCATGACGTGGTTCCGGTTGAGGCGACACAGTTTCCCGTTGCGAATTCCTGAAGGCTTCAGTTTAAGCTCGTTGCATTCCTCTTGGCTTCAGTTGAAGCGATCAGGAATTTTCAAAGCCACCATGAATGTTGAAGTCAAAAGGAATTTTACAGGCGGATTTCTATTTTTTGTGCACAGTTTGTTAGAATAGGGT